TTTTCTTTTTCTTTTACTTCTTCCATTTCTTCTATTTTCTTTTGTTCCATGGATTTAATAAAACCATAAAATGGAACACTGATACAAGCCAATGACGCACCAACACAATTTAATATTTGGTTATCAACTGGTTGTGCATCGATACCAAATAGTCCAAATGTTCCAGTACACCATCCTATTGCTAAATTAGAAATACCCCAAATACTAATACCTAATGACACCCCAATTGTTTGAATAACTGGTACTGTAAGTAAATTGCCAGTTGCCCAAATCATACCACCTAACATAGCAAAAGGGTAAAATTGGTGTGTTGGATTAGTAAGAAATTCTAAGAATAAAGCTGTCAACTAATAAATCTTTGTTAATACCTTTTACTCTTCATTTAAAAATGTGCTTTTGCTTTACTTTTATACTCTTACAAAAAACAAAAAAAAACAAACAAAAATACCTAATGTTAAGGTAAATTGGAAAAACATTCCATCTCCAGTTGGAAACTTTTTAACAACAATATAATTACTCCCATAAAATACTACTGAAACTAAACAACAAAAATATGAGAGAAGTGTGGTATTCATTTCACTCTTTTTAACTCCACATTTTTAAATTCATTTTTTTTTAAAGGAATGAGAAGAAGTTTTTGGAATTTTTAATTATTTTGTGTTATATTCAAAAAATAATTTAAAAAAAAACTTAAAAAATTGAATTATGGAAACAACAAAAAAAGACATATTAATTCCTTTAGAAGAAATTCAATTACCAACAAGAAACATTCAAGGATTAAAAGTTGGGTTTCTTAAGAATCCAGAGGGGTGGTGTTCTTGTATACCACAAACTGTTTTATTATTACAAAGATATGGATATGATATTTATATTGAAAACAACATCAGTGAAAATTGGAAAAACGAAGATTATGAAAAATATTTGTGTAATGTACAAGAACGAAAAACTGTGATTTCAATTTGTGATGTGATTATATCCTTTTATTTTGATGGGCCAGACATAAACTCTTTTCATCAAGACCAAATAATCATCACTGAACGACAAATATTAACTGAGAATTTTCAACAACAATTACTTGATTCTGGAGTTAAGATCATTACTTTAGACACTATCCCTCTTCAAAAAGAATATTTGTCATATTCTTCTTCATATGCAAAAGAATCTGGTAAAGGAAAAGGAATAGGAATAATTGCAATAGATGAATTAGGAATTGTTTCTTCAGGTTATAAGTATCAAGCACTAATTACTGAACCAGAAAATATTTCATTGGTTAGTTGTGCAGAAATACTTCACCGATTTAATATATCATTAACAACAATAAGTACTAATCCTGATATTGTTCTAACTGATAAACCATTTTTAAACTCTCAATACAAAAGAGGAACAATCATTATTCCAATAACAAATGAACAACTTCAATTTGACCAAACAAAATATACAATAATCCAAATCACAAATAATAAAATAATCAATAAACATATGTCTTTGTCTTTATCATTTACAATAATGAATTTCTTGAAATATTGTAGATTTAATGGTTTCTTCAATAAAGAAGATAAGTTATCTTCTTTTTATAACCTTACTAACAACCAACAATTATCTTACCCATTACAGACAGAACTTATCAAAGAATTACAGCCACAACTAAAAGAAGAAACTATTGAAGAAACTTCTCCAAAAGAAAATATATTTCTTTCTTTCATACATCGTTATTTTAATAAAAGCTATCTTGGATTAATAATAATCATCACTTTTTTAATTCTTATGACTGTGTGGGGATCTTTACAAACTTCTATAGAAACTACAATTAAAGACCCTATTCTTATTTGTGTGTTGTCTTGTGTTGTTGGCGCATTTATGGCACGAAGAATTTCCCCATCAATTCATATTCCAACTGTTTTATTACTTCTTTCTATATCCTGTTCTATTGGATATACTTGTTTAGATGTAATGAACAATTTCAAGGATGTGGTTGGGACTTCATACCGTCAATATGGTCCAGTAATTGTGGATCTCTTTGGATTATTATTAGTCTCAATAATTTTAACTAGTTCTATTTTCCTTGTTATTAAAACGATGAAACTTTATTGAATTTAACAATTAATTTTTTGTTTAATACTTTTATTATAATAATATAGTAAAAAGGGTTTATTTATACTGGACCAAATACAAAAATTTTTATTCCACAACTCTTTGATAGTCATGTCACATATAATGAGATGATTTGAACTAAGTTGTAAGAGTAATTCATTGATATTCCCATTTCTAATTTATAGTAGTAATGGAGTAATGCCTTGGAACAAAATTATTATTAGAATTTTAGTTAGTAAGTAATAGTTTTTAAAGAAATTTTTCGATGGTTATGAGGTTTTTGTATTTGATGAGGTGTTGAGAGTTGAGAATAAAGGAGATTATTAATTTAAAAAGTTATCTTGTGATTGTTTCTTTGATTTTTCAGTATTTAAATGAAATAATAATCATCTTGAAATCATTGAATAATGAGCGTTTCTGAATCTAAACCAATTTTAATTATTTACTTCACTCGTGACGGACATAGTGAAAAAATAGCAAATGATATGTCAACAGTTATTCCTGCAGATAAAATTAAAGTGACTGAAGAATTTAGTAGGTCTGGAGTTGGTGCATATTTCACTAGTTTCAATGAAGCCGTTTTTGGAAGTGATAATTCTAAGTATTTAAAAACTGAAGTATTTTCTAATACTGAACAATATAAAGCTATTATTTTTATTGGTCCAGTTTGGTGGTGGGGATTAAATGCACCAATCAAGAATGCTTGTAATGAGGTAGTAAAGAAAGTCAAGGCTGACCAACATGTTTTCTTAGCTCTTAGTTTTGCTGGTAAATCTAACCCAGGAGATAAAGGAAGTTATGAAGAATTTGCTAAAATTTTTAAGGGAAAAGCTATTGTTCATGAGAAGTATCTTGGATGTCAAGAAGATTATTATGCAGCTGGATCATTAAAAGATAAAGTTATGGCCTTTGAGAATGAGGTCTTACAATCAGTAGGACTTCCAGAGATTAAAGCAGAGGAGCCTCAAGAAAATAAAGAAGAGAATAAAGAAGAAGTGAAAGA